GTCCCAAGCCAACCCAGGCCAACCATTCCACATTTTAGTTGATAAGCAGGTTTTAAGAATTAAAACACTAACTTGGGTACATTGCTCGGCTTGCCCATAACCGAGGGCGCGGCTATTCGAATAGATTATACTCTGATCAGAGGTGTACATCTTTACCCACAAGACACATCTTCCTCACGTGTAGCCACGTGTCACATACCACCACGGTATACGGACGGAAGACATGACATAGTTTCCAACCCATCCTAGCCATAGACAAGAGTACCGACCCAACCCCACCTACGGCCGGAACCTCCGGGACAGGTAGGCAGGACTGAGCCCCTAGCAGCAGGACACCGGCCCTGTGCCATGACATCTCGACTACCGGGCCGCAGCTCGTGTAGCCTTCATTTGTCCTAGAGATGTCCATCGACCCCCGACTTCGTCCATCTCCATCCGTGTACTTTTGTTTATAACCAGACTGAGCCACAAACTAAGCCTTACCCACTAGACATGTGGAAGTACGGTAGTGCTTTGCAACAAAGGCCCGAAGACCGGTCCTTATATGGCCGAGGTGCTACTATCAAAACCATGCACCCCGAGCCCAGCCTAAAACCATTTTGGAGATTTTGAATAGAGGGTGAGGTGTGAATCCAATTCCACAATAATCAAACCATTCCATAGTGTCCAGGTGATATGAATCTCCCAAAGTCTAGAGTTGTAAAACCACCTAATGTTACCTAATTAATTAGCGAAGCATCTACCTAAAATTATACTAGTGGTACCATGAGTAGAGTGTCTACTAGTTGGGGTTTTGTTTATTCTAGGGTGAACAAGGAAATAATAACAATAAAAATAATAAGGTCATAACAAAGGTAAATAGGCATGGCTAGATAAAACAGTGATAACGCGGGAATTTAAATAAAGCGATAATGCAATAATTTAAATCAAAATAATTTTATAAACTGGGATTTAATATGTTCAAGGATGATGTGACTTGCCTTGCTCGCTTTCCCAAACGTCGGCTTCAACTTCCACGAAGAGCGGATCTTCCGAAGCTGCGGCGTCTACACGACCAACGAAAAAAAGAAAAGGCTTTTACTCTAATAAACTCCATATAACAAGCAGGAACAAAGCACAAAAATGGGTTCTTGACTTATTAAGGAAAAATTAGAGACTTGAACGGTCCAATTCCGAGTTCAAATGGCCAAGTTATGGCCATTTGAAGTTTATATGCTCTTTAAATGAATATTTGCGAATTTCTTCATTTAAATTTTAATTAAAAAAAAGGTTTATTGCGTCAGCCGAGGGGAGGGGCGCGCGGACCGGGTCCACGGGAGTGGGGCCCACGCGGCAGCCCCACGGTCCACGGTGGACCGGGCGCACCCGGGCTCACACCGGCCGGCGCCGTTGGTCCCACGCGTCAGCCGCACCCGAGGGCGCGGGCGGCTGACAGCCGGGCCCCACGCGGCAGCCGCTCGGTGCGCCCGAAGGCGGCCACGCCGGCGCAGCGACGGGAGGCGGCGCGCCCGCGCCCCTATGGTCGCCGGCGGCGGCCATAGGCACGGCGGAGCGGCGGCCGAGAGAGGGGAGGGAAAGGGGGAAACGAAGCGGCGGTCCACGGCTCACCCCGGGTCGACGGCGACGACGGAAACGGCGACCGGAGCGGAGGAAGGCGGCGGCGCGGCTCGGGTGGACGGGGTCGACGGTGCTCCGGCGGTCGGCGAGCGAAACGGAGGGGTGGACGAGGTCGGCGAGGATGCGGTGAAGCCGAAGGAGGCGGCGCCGAGGTGGGAGATGGTCCGGGGCGACGACGGCGGCGGACCGGAGCTCGGCGGTGACGGCGGAGAGAGAGAGCGACGGCGCGAGCTCGATTCCGGCGGGGAGAGAGGGCGGCGAGAGGCGGAAACGGACGGAGGAGGTGCGGGGAGGGTTTATATAGGGTTGGGAGTGAGAGAGGGCGGCCGGAGGAGGGGGAAATGGGCGCGGGAGACCCGGCCGCCATTAATGGCGCCGGCGAGGTTAGGGGAGAGGTTTCCAAACGAATCCGAGGGAGAGAGGGAGGGAAAATTGGGGGGAAAGGGGGAGGGGATCCCGGGGAATAATTCCCCCCACTTTGTTGCGCGCGGGGACGGCGGGAGGCGGCGGGATTCGCGGCGGCGGCGGCGCTAGGGTGCGGGCGAGGCGGCGGGAGCGGCGGGAGGAAGGGGATGACGGGTGGGCCCCACCCGTCAGCGAGGGTGGCGGGCGGGCCCGCCCGTCAGCGGCGCGCGCGCGGGGAGAGGCCGGATGGGCTGCGGGGAGAGGAGAGGGAGGGGGAGGTAGATGGGCCGAGCCGGCCCAAGAGGGAGAGGGAGGGAAAAGGGACTTTTTAGAGCTTTTCTTTTTATAAAACCATTTTAACTTTGTTTATTTCTTAATAATTATTATTTGTGCTCTGAAAATTCCACTAAAATTTATTTACGCATTTTAGGCTTTTAGGAAATATACAAAAATCCTCCAAGCCTTATTTGACTTTTAACTTTGCACATTTTAATTGCTGGAGGCTTTCACACAGATTTTAATTATTCTAGGCATAATTTAGAGGATGTATTTTAGAGTCGTTTTGGGACGTGACAGAGCGTTTTCCTGTAGTCTCGGCTTGGGGACAAGCCAGTTGCGAAGAAGGGGAGAATGTTACCAACCCTGTTAAGCTTAGGCCCAGTAGGAGTAAGCGGTCCAATCCACGCGTCAGTGGGCCAGAGTGGGTGGCGTGAGTGTTCAGCCTGTGTATATAAAGGCTATGCTGTAATCGTGCTGGTTATCGAATTGAAAATAGAAAAAGCTAATCCCCAACAACCTCTGCTTCTTCCCTCTCTCCCTCTGTTCATCTCTCTTCCTCCCCAAGTGCTCGGTCAAATTCTTGACAGAGGTTGTGACAAAAAACCCCTTTGTTTTTTAATTTGTTAAGAGATGCGCTCATAGCATAGTGGCAGGGGTTGCTGCATGCACCCTATCGGTCCAGGTTTGATTCTCGTCGAGTACACACACCAGGTTCGATTCTCGTCGACTACGCACACCAGGAATCGTCGAGTACGCACACCAGAAATATTTACTTTTCTTTCTTCTTAAAACCATTGACACCAAATCCTTTCTTGGTGTCTAACCTTTTTTTAATTGTTTAAATCCATCAGTTGATCCAATGAACTTGGTTATTATACAACAATCAGTAGTCGGCCTCACCAAATTGGCGATTTCTCAGTTTCGATAGAACATTTTTAACAATGAATCAGCGAGCATAACAGATGCTGTCAACATAACAGAGTAGTTTGACTTGTTTCTGGCATACTTCACGTACAGATAATTAAGTAGAAAAATATCTCTATACTATTCAAAATGTTGGTAGCTAGCAGTGGTGTTCATTTTCACACCACCTCTATTACTAGCATTTAGGCTTACAATCTATACTATTACACCACATTCAACAATTCCTCTCTTTTATTATTGGCTTCACCATATTTCAAAATCACAAATTTGTTCAATAAGAAAAATTGTAGTATTACTTAGAATAAATATATATTTATTACTTGATTTAATAAGCTAGAAACTCAATTTGGTTTTCGTGACAACACAATCAATTAGTCCTGAACAAACAAAATTCCAAGAGTATCTACGTTTTGATGACTAGCTGATTGGTCATCCTACGAGAGTCTCGAACCAAACTGTATCGAACGTCCTTTTGTTTACGAGGATTGCTATAGCACGGGATTTCATTCCAACGCGATACTTTATGAATCTAATCCTGCACCTCCCGTTTTTCCCATGTTCAAGCTCCCACATTACAAAGAAACAAGTAGCGTAGCTCCTTGCTCCCACCGGTCACAGCAACAACAGAGGAAGGAGGGAGCTATCGTTGAGAGGAAAAGAAAAGAGAAGATGAGACAATGATAGGTGACTTGCCGGTAAGTTAGACGATGACAACGCGCTCTTTTCCCCTACGCCTTGACCCGGTACTTGATACCATTGGTATCAGACCCGATATCTAATACCTGATACCAGGCATGATACCCCGAGATATCAGACCTTGGTATCAACCCTCTGATACCTAAGGTATCAACTGTGACATACTTGTACACACATCAGTGAGTACAAGTGATGGGTTGGCAAGAAGCAGAAGAAACCCAATTCCAAGGTCGCCATCTACGTCGAGACTAGTCGCTTCCACCCAGCCTCTTCCTATCGACGCCTAGGACCTCATCCCCCTCCTCCGCCGCCTCCCTTTCCTTCTGGTTGCACATGACAACCCCCAATCTCACAGCCATAGTTGGCTCGCTCCTTGACTATAACCCCCCTGCCCATGCCAACCTCTACTCTTTCACATTCTTCGGATCCAGTGTAGCTAGAAAGGGAGAAAAGATGATAAGGAATGTCGTCGGTGTTGGAGACGATGGTGAAGGAGTCGAGGAGAGTGAGGAGGAGGATGGCCACTGGGGTAGAGGAGTGGATGGAGGGAGGAGAAAAACGAAGCGCTGCTACTTGGTGGGGGAGAAAAACGAGTCAGTGGGGAAACAGATCTTGAAGATATGTACCGTTCACACCTATTTTATCACGTGTCCTTGTGCCCCCGATGGGATTCCGTGTATTAGTTTTTTCTGTTTGTTTGTGGGAGTTTAGAATTTTAAGGAATAATTGGTTGGTAGCTAGATTCTAATAATCAAGAGAAGTTGGATTTCCTATTTTTTGACTTTTAATTATTTTTGTAGATTTTACACAGCTTCTCAGATTTTAGACTTTGTATTGTTTACGAGAGCTTCTAATTCTGAAAGAAACTACAGTCGCTAGAAACTTCCAAAACAAGCCCTTTGATTGGATGAACCAGCCGGGATTCGTTTGTGCACGGCCCAACGTGTCACGGAGCCCATTCAGTGACCCGGCCCAGGTAACCATGGGCCATTGCCCATGAGGCCACGCTTAGTCGCCTGGTCGTCGCAGCCGTTGCATATGCCATGCATGCGCGCGAGCGAAACTGCAACAACCGCCACGCCAGAGTCCACCGCACGCCACGCTCTCCGCTTCGATCGGCGGCGGCGATCCATCGATCCCCTCCTCGCTCCCGCGCGCGGGCGCGTTGACGTAACCACCTCGTCCTCATCATCATCCTCTCCCGCCTCGCCGGCTCTCCCATCTCCTATAAATTCCGATGATAATACCATCTCCTGATCAGTTCAATTTTGTCATAATCGGCTGCTTCTTCGCTTCAATTCTGTGTTGGTAGCAGGCGACGCTCGGTGTCTTAGTTCATGGCTCGGAGGGATCAGCTGGTCTCTTTCCTCTGCTTCTTCCTGATCGTCTCTGCCGTCGCCGGCGGCTTGTGCGTCTCGGCCACCGTGCTCCCGATGCGGGTGGGGAAGCAGTACGTCGTCGGCGGCCGTAGCGGGTGGAGGACGCCGCCGCCGGCTAGCGTCGACTTGTACGCCAAGTGGGCCGCCGGCATCCGCTTCTACGTCGCCGACTCCATTGGTAAGGCCCCCAAGCTAGCTATAAAACAATTCGAACATCGAAGAATTTGTTCTTGATTCAATTCATCCATCGATTTCATGCTGCAAATCGAAGAGTTCGTGTACAAGAACGATTCCGTGGTGAAGGTGGACAAGTTCGGGTACTACCACTGCAACGCGACGGCGGCGGCGGCCAACGACGGCAGCGTGCTCTTCCTCCTCGACGCCCCCGGCTTCGCCTACTTCTCCAGCGCCGACGCCGATCACTGCAAGAAGGGCCAGCGCCTCATGATCAACGTCGACTCCGCCCCGTCGCCGGCGCCCGCCCCGGCGGCGTCGCCCATCGCGAAACCTCCTGCCGCCGTGACGGCGGCCACGCCACCGCCGCCGCCGCCGCCGCCGTCGCCATCGCCTTCCCCGAGCCCGGCGCCCCAAGAAGCCGCAACGGCGAGCGCCGCAACGTCGTCGTCGGCGGCGACAGCGGCTCACGCATTGCTCCTGGCCGCGATGGCCATGATGGGCTTGATTCTTGGAGAGTGGTAGTAACAACAGAGTTTGCATTGAGCTAGGCCATCAGGGTGTTAGTTAATTAGGATGGTTAATTACTTCGGTGCAGTATGGAACGTACTGGCTGGAGCTTAATTACCGTCGCTGAACTGAATAATTTCGATGTGAATTAGACGATTAGTTGTTGATTTGTCGCTTTAGAATCGAAGAAGAAATTAAGATCTCTCCATTTTCATGCAAATTTCTGATTTGTGGGAAGAGCTTGTTGTTTCGGTTCATTATACACACCACGTGTCATCAACATCTGCACCGTGTGTAGGGTGAAAACGGGCATCTCCTAGGAAACGAAGCTCGATCGACCGGTAATTGATTATATATATTTATTATTTAAACTACTTAGTGTCGACATTAATATGATGCACAAAAAATTAGAAAAAACAAAATTTATAAATAGATAAAAAACGATATGGTCGGAAACTGTACTCCATATACGAAAAAGGCGTTTTGGTCGATCAGGAATTTTCGTGACCGCTTTCACCCTACTGTGCGGTATGAAAATGCCTTACCCGCATGCAGTCTATGCTAGTGGTACCAACTGATGACTAAACTAGGTCCCGATCTTTTCATAGGTATTGATAATTCTCGATTTGGAGGAAACTTGACACATACGATCCGACTTCCGATCAACACTTCAAACCCTGCAAGCGCAGCACCACGTCTATTCTAGTTATCAACCGTGTCAAAACCCGGTTGACCTCACCGAGAAGACTAATGACTGCATGTGAATCGAAGAATACAAGCAAGAATAAAGTATAGCAACTCAATTGCATATAAATAATTAAGAACTCGAATTTAGGGTTCCACAAACCAAACAAGCGGCAAAACTGCAATGGCAGAAATAATCTAAGCAAAACCCAATTCTAAATTATGACGGCTACTAAATAAATATAATTTAGGACGTCGTAGGGTTGCTCTAGGATGCACGCTCCCTTGGGCTTAGCCCACGACACAATTGCAAAGTCCAAGACCCAAATCAAATTCGAACTGGACGAGGTACGTGGCTTGATTTGTAGATTCCTGACAAGTTGGTGGGAATCTTGAAGTGTGACCAAAAACCATCTGAAAGTAGACTCCATAAGTTTTCTAATAAATACTCATGGGCCCGGAGATTCCTTCTAGATCAGTGGCTAGTTCCGTTTGAAGTTGACGTTGTCAGGAGTCCCGAATCCAAATCTAAAACATGTAGAAATTTATCTCTTATCTTATATGGACCAAAAGTGACGTGATGAGGTAGAAGTGGACTTGGAGAAGGTGTTGATTTGGTCCCAAATTAACTTTTTGATCATCCATGCATTCCTTATGATTGGTCTCTTTTCCTTCACCCATATAAGTACCTCTCTAAACAAAAATATACGAAACTCATTGTGTAGCAATGTTTGTTCAAATATATAACAAGTACATCTACTATAGACCATATGTACCCTTAGTTGATAAATACATAAGGTAGCCATGATCATATTTGAGCTAGTTGTATCCTCGTCAACTTGGACATGGGCTTGAATCAAAGGTAGAAACAACTGGAATGGTGCACATATAAAAAGAACGCACAAATGTCTATGTTTTCTTTAATAATGGAATTAAATCTGGCCTTTGCTTTAATGAAAATACAACCAATTATTATAGTATTCTCTTAAAAAAAGCAAACACTCAAGAAAAAAATAACTTAAATAATAAAGCCAACACATAAGGAGTAAATAATTATTGAAATCTATTTGTGAATCTCCATCCGTAGTGCAGAAGTGTCTACGTGCACTACTCAAAACAGCTAATAGCGGGTAGATAGCAGATTATTGTTCATGTAGTGGTCGGATCACAGATAGCGTTCGCTAAGTTCCAATAACAACATCTAGTTACCACTCATAAATTTCTCTCTCTGTCTGTGTGTATCATAAAATGTTATTACGTGTATCGATATCAACATGGTATCGTAGGTACTAGACACAATAATCATATGTACCAGGCTTTGGTACCTACGTACCATGATGATATTAATATGGTTTCATAGGTACCGGATTTCGTAACGAGAGTATCAATCATACCATGCTGATATCATCATGATGTCCAGTTATTCCGTTGAAATGTATACTTGTATGTAGTATTTGTGATATCATAAATAATAACTTTCTAACGAATTAACAATGGAACAAATAAATTAGTGATAGATCAATACACATATAACTTAAGAGTATAAATAGATATCTAGTTGCATTTAAGGAGTTGATGTGTCGTCCATCAGTTACATCTAAGACTCAGTCGATCTGCTATTATGGTCTGCTATGTCATATTGCAGCCGCTAAGTTCCAACTTGCTATCATATATCTGACCCACTAGCTACCTCGTAGCGGTAGAGGTAGGGATACTACCGATACAAAGGGCATCACATGATTTTTTTTTGAAACATAGTACAAACACTGACACCCACAACGTGCGCACACTCACCTCTATGAACGCGCCTGCACACACACCCTACCCCTACGAGCACCTCTGGAAGACTGAGCTGGCATATCTTTAGATTGACGAAGTTACCACATGTGTCTCGCTGTTGAAAGGTACGTCGCCTGCTACTAAAAAAATAATTAATCGTAAATATGATCACTCTTGTCAAATCTTGAATTTGAACCTGGGTGGGCTGGTTCCACCACAAGGAACTTAAGTAGCTGAGCTACGCTCATTTCACATTAATTTTTTTGTTCGATGGTAATAAGCGTTGTTAACTCATTAATTGTACGGCATTTGCAGGCTATATTAAATCGCCCGATTGAAATGGTGCAACTTTGAAGATGCATGTATGGCTATTACAATAGTGCTTGATTTTGATGCAAAATACTACTAGCATGAGTAGGGTGTTCGTGAGAAAGAAAATAGATGAAAAAAATGGCAAATAATAATGATAGATTAGGTTGGTATCTTGACCATGTTTTTTCGGAGCATATGGATAGTTGGTGTCAGGGTATACGTGAGATTGAGGTAAAAGAAAGACATGAATTTTTATACAGGTTCGTCCTCCCGCTTACTGATAGGTAATAACCCTATTGTTATTGGCTGAAGTCTGTATTGCCTTTATAGATCAATATCACACGAGTACAATATATGAGATGACCTAGTTTGTCGCTGTCGACCTAGCATCATCGCTGTCGACAGTGTAGTGATCTTTTTCCTTGAATATGAACTCAACGAGATTGGAGATGTTTCTAGATCTCTCATGTCAGCCTCTCTGGCTCATACATTGGGTTTGTCTATATTTGTATTGGCTTGTCTTTTGACTTGGCATGTCCCCTGATTTCCTCCTAGGGGGTCTTGTATTCATACTCTGGGTGTCCCATTATACAAGTAGAACTAGGGAAACAAGTATGGATACGATCCGAGTAGTTCCTGTAGTGTCCGAATAGAACTTTGTTTGTCCTTCCTTATCTAGAACATCTTCCGTATATGAGGCATGATTTCGTATACGACTTGGTACATGATGGGTCCCACCGAGTCTTAATACAAGAGTATTGGGTATGTTTTATCTATAACACCGATAGTCGGCTCCAAGCATCCATTGCACACTAATGCCAGAGATAATTAAGGAATTGATAGACTAGCTAGCTAGGGGATGTCTGGATACGTTTTTGTTGCACACAGCGATGTATGAACCGTTCTAGAACGCTTTAATTTATTAAGAAATCATGCAAAAACTAATAAATATTTGTATTAGTTGGAAATTCGCCTTATAGCTTCACTACTACAGAAAAAGGGATCGGTGCTAGTTAAAAACTTGTCATAGGTGCCAGATTTTCTAACTGTCATCTAGTAGGCAATACCTTTGAGGAAGACTCAAAGGTGTAGGTTCTAAGAATGAAAAAAAGAAAAGCAAAAATCCCGGCTTGGTGCATCGCTTCGAATCGAGCCAATACATCAAACAGCTCTCCATCATCACTGAGATCAACATCATCTCCATCAACCAAACACAATGATATCACCGTCATCCTATCAACCAAACACGATCACAAACTCAACAAAATCACAAATACAAATACATAGAAAACGACATTGTCATCATCGTCGATCCCGCCTCCCCCGTAAGCACAACAGTGATCCGGTCGCCTCCGTCGTCGTGGCGGCGTCGGTCGGATGGAGAAGAGGAGGAGGAATGAGGGGAGGCGACGGTTAAGGAGGAGGAGTGACGGATCTAGAAAGAGGAGGAGGGAGGAAAAAGGAGGAGCGGCGGCGAGGGCTAAGGAGGAGGAGGAGGAATCCCTTCTTACGACTATAAAGTTATCACACGGAGTTCTGGACAAGCTCTCGTCATCATTGAATTGCATGATGTATGATCGCTGACCATTCACATGATGTCACACTCGAGCACATGACCAATAATTTATCACGGACCTCCTGTTCTTTCAGAAACTGTACTCCCGCTTCTTTTGCAGGTCATATCACTCGCAAACGCCAGTGAAGCAACTCCCATTAGTTACAAGCAGTGCGTGCGTGCATTATCACAAGCTCTTGGGCTGATGCACAATTAATGTGGGAAGGTAAGGAATAAATGAAGTTGTACAATTATATCCTACCTCTTCCGTTCCATAATATAAAGGATTTTAACTTGTTACTTGTACTGTTTGACTATTCGTTTTATTCAAAAAATTTTAGAAATATTTTTTTTGATCGACTTACTTTATTATCCAAAGTACTTTAAGCATAAATTTTTTTTTATATTTGCACAAATTTTTTGAATAAGACGAGTGATCAAACAGTGCATGAAAAAGTCAAAATCTTATATTATGGGATGGAGGGAGTAATATTTTAGTTGCACGAAACTTAACTCAATCAATCAACTACTCCCTCCGTCTAAAAAAAAGCCCAACCTTGACATGGATGGGACATTTCCTAGGACAACGAATCATGACAGGGAGTAGAACTTAATATCAAAAAGTGATTAAAGTTTGTGACCATTTTCATGTTATTACTCCCCTCGTCTCAAAATATAAGAGATTTTACAAAATGTGACGTACTCCCTCCATCTATTTTTGATAGTCATATTTCTGAAAAATTTATTTTTGATAGGCATATTTCAATCCAACAACCTATCATCTTAATGACTTTCTCGGATTTAATGCGTGACTCTCTATTCTTCCACACAAGATTGGCTACATGGGCATCGAGAAATGTAAATATTAATGAATCGCTTGTTTACAAGGAATAACTACTAGCATATTAAAATGGATGATAAGTAGAATTGCTTATCCTTGGTCTGTGTGCCAAGATGAAATATATATGACTATCAAAAGTAGATGGAGAGAGTATATCCTAGCAATTTGAATATGAATATGTTTCTTGTCTAGATTCGTAATCCTAGAATACGTCTCTACCACCCAAAATCTTTTATATTTTTGGACAAACGGGGTATAAACTAGTTAAGTCCAATATATTATTACTTGCTTCGATTTGATAATTCTTACGTTTGAACAAGGTTAAGATCAAATTTTTATAACTTTTACTTTCAATAAGTTTAAAAATATTTAGTTTAATGCATAGACCATCATATACAGATTTGTATTGTAAAGTACTAAGTAAAAGTAAAAGTAAAAATGTATTTATTGATTGTATATATTATAATAGAAAAACTTAGTTAAAGATATATTTTGAAGATCGTGTCATTGTAAAAAATATCAGGAATTATGGAATTGGAAGAAGTAAGTTTTTAATAATTATTTAAACAACATATAAAAACGATGCGACGGTATCTGCATAAAGACGAAATTACTTCTGCGAGAGCATTCCCATTTGATTTGTTCAGCTTATTACTGCCATAGCCAGCCACCTGTGCCATGCCAATCAATCGATCACTACTTGTCCTTCTCTTGCAGATCGAATTAATGAACTACTCCAATCAAAGTCTAATAGCACCATTTAATTTGACAGCAACTAGCTAGCTAGTGACAGTCTGACAGAGCAGCTTCAGTTTCAGTTGTCTTGTTTTACCCACGTACACGTACACACGTTCTTGGCTGGGAGCAATCCATGCATCATGCATGCATGTGTACGTACCTACTTACTCCCTCCTTCTTAAATATAAATATGTGACGCTGTTAACTTTTTTAAACATGTTTGACTGTTCGTCTTATTCAAAAACTTTTATGAAATGTGTAAAACAATATGTATACATCAAAGTATATTTAACAATAAATTAAATGATAGGAAAAGAATTAATAATTACTTAAATTTTTTTTAATAAGATGAACGGTCAAACATGTCTAAAAAAAAGTCAACGGCGTCAAATATTTTGGGATGGAGGGAGTACATACGGAGTACAGTAGTATACATACGTCGTTTAGCAACCGTTCCATCATGAACATGCTTGAGTTGAGCTTCGTGAACCACATGTTTTAATTAAGCTTTCTCTGGCTTGTGTCATGCCATGATTTGGTACGCTCTTGTTGGTTGGGAGTTGGAACAACCTAGATAGATAGGTCTTTTTCCTGCGGATCGATCGCACACAGGTTTTCTCTGATAGTTATGAGTTCGTCTCCTCCTCAACCGCTTGCATTTCTTGCCTGTCGATGTATCATGCATGCTCATTGATGAGATAATCTCACGAGGAGTGAGCTATACTAAATCTCACGAGGAGTGAGCTATACTAACTCTGTTCTTGAATATACGACGTTGTTTACTACTGTTAGAATAAATTTATAAAAAAGATATTTAAGGTACTTCCTCCGTTGGGCTGTGTACATTTATTGTGGATGTAGAGGTTGGATTTTAATCTATTTTCTAAAAAAAAAGTACTTCCTCCGTTGTTTGGCTTTTTTTTCTTAATTAAAGTTCTTTAGATTTGTTTAAATTTATAGGAAAAAATAGTAATATATATCTACAACACCAACTTAGTTTAATTAAATTTAACATTAAATATATTTTGATCAAACATATTTGTTTTGTATTGAAAATAATAGTATATAAAATTTGGTCAAATTTTAAGAAGTTTGACTAAGAAAAAAGTCAAACGACTTATAATATCAAATGATTGAATTATTAAATAATGCGATAATCAAATATAGAATGAAACAAGTGTAGTGTTCTTTTTTTTATCTTACTGACAGCTCATTAATCATATTACTGATGACTGATGCGTCTGTATTAATAATGGACAGGCACCAGTAACAAGCCATCTAGCTCATAGTAATATCATATAAATATAGCTATTAAAATTGTCAAATGAAAATGAAGCATATTCAGAAGATCCTGCCTCTGAATTAATACCCAGAGAAAAACAAAAAAGAGAGAAAGAACTCATAAGCCATAAGCCAAAGATTATTACTGGCTAGCTATATATATATACACAGAATCACAGGTCAAAAAGGAGAGAGAGATAGTAGTATAGTAGTACTACATGTTCCACAGGAGCGCGCCGAAGCCGGACGCCACGACGCCGTCCGCCCAGACATGGTCCAGCTCGAACCCGAGCGCGTCGTGCACGGCAATGCCGCCGCCGCCGCCGTCCTGCAGACACGCCGCCGGCTGGTCGTACCACGGCTGGTCGGCGGCGGGGTCGTAGTGGAACGTCGTAGCGCCGCTGCTGGCGAACACGAGCTCTGCCGCGGCGTCGAGCTCGTCGATGGGCGGCAGCTCGACGATCTCCTCCAGCTCCTCGTCGTCGTCGTCCTGGTCGACCTGGGCAACGAGCGCGTGCGCGCGAGCCGCCTCTGATGGCGATGCCTGGGGCGGCATTAACGGAGGCGGCGGCGACGGCGGCGCGGGGACGACGGCGTCGAGCGCCATGGCCGCGGCGCGCGCGGCGGCGGCCTGCACGTCGCGCGGGGCGGCGGAGGCCGGGCGCGGGAGGGACGCGGCGGCGCCCGGGAAGTTGAGCACCGCGGCGGGGCCCTTGACGACGAGCGCGGCGGCGTCGTGCGCGCGCGCCGCCATCTCGGGCGTCGGGAACGTGCCGAGCCAGATGCGCGACTTCTTGCGCGGCTCCCTGATCTCCGACACCCACTTCCCCCACGCCCGCATCCGCACGCCGCGGTACGTCGGGTGCCTACCCCCACCGCCGCCCCTCCCGCGCTTCTCGCCGCACCTCGCCGCCGCCTCTCCCCCAGGCGACGGTGGCGTCGACGTCGACGAGGCCGACGACGACGGCGACGCCGGACTGCACGCCGCCAGCTCGTACTCCGGCATTGGCATTGGCAATGGCGAGCTGATCAAACAACTGTACACACAAACACTTAGCCACTACGTGAGCTCGAATGGAGAGCACGAGAGACCGTGTCGAGAGGAGGAGATACGTGGGGGGGTTTTAGTAGTGGTTGGTGGGAGCGCGCGGTGACGGCGACGTCTCACCGGACGCGCGCGCGCTCTTCTCTCCTCTCTCGCCATCGACGTCCTTGTCGTCGTCAGCAACGCTCCATCCTCGCCCAATCTCACTACATCTGTATCCATCCATCTATCTATATATCTATCTGAATCTGATTTACCTCAAATTCTCCATTGTTTATTAATTAATTTGTTCTTCTCCGAGTGACGGAGTGAGTGAATATGTTTATTTGTGTTTACCGGGTCAAGAAGAGAGAGCGACTACCATGGATGCAACGGATAAATTTCGGAAAGAACCGTTGCAACACTTGGGAGAAAACAATTGTTTACAAAAGTTCATAACAATCTTTGATACCAGTCTTGTTTATTTCGTCTCTCTGTTGCTTATAAAAGAAGTTTCTTTAGTGATGAGGACATCACTCCATTGGATATACACAACAATCCTCCACCGGTCATTAAAAAACCAATTACAAGAGCTCGCGCACGATAATTGAATTTAGAGGTGAGCTTGTTCCTACGTTTTTTTACATGATTTTGAGAATAGATTCCTATCTAATGATTATATTATGATTAAGAATCATGGAGAGGACAAAGCGACGCTTAGAGAAAGACTTAGAGGCGTGGAAATCATCAAGGGCACCCAAATCAATATGGAGGCTCAACCAAGTCGACTTCGAGTATTATTCGGAGTCCAAGACTAGTCTGCACTAAAACGGACGCCCAGATCGCATACATGCTCGGATTAGGGTGTTCTTTATATGGATGGAAAGCTAAGAAGATAACATTTCCAATGGTTCTAGTCCCACGTCCAAATTCTTTTCAAGTCAATAGGAATCAACCAAACAAATTGATGTTTAGAATTTGTCCCGGTGTTGCGTCACCGTATTTGGGCCTTTGGACCGTATATTGTGTTGGAACCCATTAGGGTTGCGTCAAGGGTTGTTTGCATGACCCTAAACTCTATATATCAGTACCCGCCGTCACCTTTAGGGTTCAGGTTTTGCTTAGATTATTCTATCAAGAACAGTCTCGCCGCTAGATTGGTTTGTAAGATCCCAACTTGTAAGCTTAATCATTCATCTGTAATTTTGGTTGTATTCTTCCTTGTTCTTGTTTGTGTTCTTCGTATCGCAAACAGGGATTAGCCTTATCAGCGACGTCAATCACGTTTCGACATGGTTAATAACCGGAGGAGACGTGGGGCTGCGATTGCGGGGCTTAAGAGCGTGTTCGTTCAGAAGCCGGATCGAGTTGTGTCATGACTCCGTCCAAATCGACTGCTTATCAGAATCTTTCGGAAGATCGTGAACCCTAGTCCACATCACTTAGTAGTATTAGTGGGGGTTCAAACTCTTTTGTCAGGTTTATTTCTTACTACCTCCTTTTTTAAAAAAATAATTCAAAGCATTGACTAAGCTTCTACAAACTTCGATCACTACTTTTCCTATAATATATTTATAAATACCTGGAAACCTACTGTATCATAAAAGTATTATAGAATGTATATAGAATGAAAAAGAGTTATTGGTCAAAGTTTCAATATGAGTGTTCAATCATTAAAAAAAGAAAAAAGATTGTAAAACATTGTGACTTTTGATGTAATGTTTGGCCACTCGTTATATATATATATATATATATATCATTTATTTTCTTTTGATTTGTTTTACCATAAAAGAAACTCTAACCGCCAAGTGAGCGTAACTCAATTGGTTACATTCTTGTGGTAGAACTAACCTGCGACATACCTGTCGACAGTGAGGCACCCGTGGTGACTTCATCAATCTCAAACTATGCCGGTCCAGTCTTCGAAGGTGCTCATAGAGCTAGGGTGTGCGTGTATGTTCATAACATGTGCTCATTGTGGGCGCTTATATTTATACTGTTTATAAAAAAAAAAAAGAAACTCTAACCTTAACTTATACTTTTACATATTTATACCAAAATTTTGAATAAGATGAACTAGCAAACGTTATGTGCAAAAAGTCAACATATCATATATAAAAAAACGACGAAGGTTGTATTTTTTTTAAAGTTAACTAGCTACACAAGAGAACATATCTGGTGAAACCCTTTAAAATCAGGTCGAAAAGTTTTGTAAATTAATAAAAAAATTAATAGAGATGGATGTAGGCATGGAATACATTCTTACTTCAAACTCAATTTTATTTGAGAGTAAAAAAGAAACAAATTTCGGCTAAATATTACCATGACACTATTCACCTAAAATTTGTCCTTTTCTCTTAAATGACGTTGACTTTATACTCCGCTACCAAAGATTTTTGCTGATGCCAACCTATTTTTTTTTAAGCAGACAAAGTAAAAAACTTGTGAAACTGAAGTCGGAGGTCCAGGTTAGTAAACCGCTTGCAAAAATATATTTCTACAAGCGGTCATCTTAAAAGGGCTACTTGTCAAAATAACGCTACATATGGGATATACTTGTATACTAAACTCGACGGGGCCCACCATATACAAAGGTCTCTACGGAATCGAGCCTGAAACGTTGTTGACAAGAAATCCGCGCTCAGCCAATGGTGCCCGAACTGTGTTGGCGCGAACTAAGTCAATGAACACAACGGCCTGGGAGATCTGCTTAGCTCCATTGCAGGTCCAAATACGATGAGATGCGGGCGTACCAGTCAGTTTGATTCTGCAACTGACGAGATATATATATAGCAGATGAAAGAGCCAATCGGCTGACAAGCCGATGGAGTAGTTCCAGCCTATGCTGATACCAGCCGATAACGATAGGATTTGAGCTATTGGCTAAATGTTTAATGTAGAGTCTGACACGATGTAAATAATGATATGAAGACAATCCGCTGATGATAACAATAGAATAATCTAGTAGAAACCAATCGGCTAACAATATAATAGAATAAACACTAATCCGATGGTTAAAGCATACATCGGCTGGAGATCCGATGTCATAAAATCTAAATGATTAGATAAACAGTGAAACCTTTGTTGCCATTGGCTAAATCCAACTTGCATGTTATCCTTATAAACCGATGCAACGTCCTGATAACTTACCGGCTGAAACCCTGATGAAACCCTTATTGGCAACCAAGAAGAAGACTAGAGATTATGGTTCTAAGCACGACTTAGTAGATCAAACTTAACTGATGCAGCACTAAGTATGAAAAGAAACATAATATCTAGACAATCAAGCCCTTGACTGATTTTCAGGGTAGTGGATATCTTAGCTAATCTAGTCTGGTAAAGCGATTTAGCCGATACTGGCATAAACCTTAAAGCGAATCTCAGCCGATACAAGTAAATAGAGCTACCAAACTAGATTAACTAAGATATATGATAAATCGGTAGGCAAATATATTAACCAAACCAGAGCAATCCAGGAGGTCGAATGTACTGATGTAGCCTTTGATGCTGCCAATGTAGCCGATACAATTGTCTGGGCCGGTGGAACGTAGGACTTACCCCTTCGCCGGAGATCGAAAGCCGATGCGGTTCCGTGTCGGGTGCCAAGTTTCATCGGATGATAAGTAAAAAGTCTCAGTAAAGAGGGTGGCAATGCATCGAGAGTTGTTGTATTGATTGTGGAGATAGTTTACAATGAACCCGGGTGTACATATTTATACCCATGGATAGGTACGTGTTCTTATTGGATAAGAAAAAAACTTTCCTAAACATAAAAGGAAAACATAAAGTTCTTATCGGACACTAAACACACTTTCCTAAGGATAAAAGGAAACTAACATACTATTCCTAATTAATAGGTAACTTGCTATGCCACATCCTCCTAGAACTCTGTCTACTATGGATAAGTTTCCTTTAATTGATTAATTTCCTTAACTGAATATAGTAAGAATCGAACTATTGGCGACTTGATAATTCTCATCGGCTGATTCCAGGACTCTGAAGCCGATATTGACTCTAGGCTGATAATGCCCCCCAATTTTGAAATATGAGAACTTATGCTTCAAAATTACCTTTTTTTCTGGTCTTGATAACTCCAAAACTGATCTTCCTTTGCTTCTTGCAATCGGCTTTCACGAGCCGATACTGTTTACATTAGATGAGCTAGACAGTCAAACTCGTGGCAAAAGAATCTATCTCTTATGGGTGCTGACAATCCATGAAATGCAAGATCTGCTAGCTGCTCATCATTTAGGCTCAAACCATAATATAGGCTGCAGACATTATGAAATCTCTGAATATATTCCATAGCCGATTCTCCTTCTTGCTGCTCAACCGATATTATGTCTGAAAGATTCAACTCATTGATTCCAGTAAAGAAGTAATCATGAAATTACTTCTCAAGATTGGCCTATCCTCTGATAGAATTTGATGATAATGATGAAAACCATGTGAAAGCCGATCCAGTCAAAGACAATGGAAAAAAAAAATCTAACTTTCAGAGCTTCTTCAGTCGATGCCTCCCCCATTGTGCTAAGAATCGGCTAATGTGTTCCATTGTAGATGTATTATCCTGCCCTGAAAACTTAGACTAAAAATAGGTTTTTAGTCCCGGTTGGTGTTACTAACCGGGACTAAAGATCATAGGGCCCTGACACAGCCTGACATGGAATCAACCGGGACTAAAAATAAACTTTAGTCCCGGTTGGAGTTACCAACCGGGACTAAAGATGATTTTTAGTCCCGGTTGGTAACAACAACCGGGACTAAAGATCTTCCTCTTATTAACCGGAACTAAAAATCATTTTGTCTCGATTTTTAATGGAACCGGGACTATTGTGGATATAGGTCGACCGACCAAAGATGGTTTCTCTACCAGTGATTAGACATGAATGGATGGTTGGATGGAAATTAAAATTGACTTGAGAGATGAAAGGATTTTTATACTCCAAATATTGACAAAGTGTTCAAAGATAAAAATAACGGTCTAAAATTTACATAGATTTAATTACCTTAGGAAATCTCCAAAGCAGCGTGTGTTTTTTTGGCCGAACGAAGCCACGAATAATTGGTAGCCATATGTACACAGTTGCAGCAGAAGTTCTCACATCCACATTTGCCTAGATGTAGTTCACTAGTGAACTTTGTTGCCTGTTCTCTGCTATAGTTGCCGCGCTGGAGAAGATCCCTATAGGTCAAATTTAAGCAATAACAAACGTGTGGTATCCTATGCCAAATTGCCGGCACAACACAACTGTTGCTCAGCCTGGCCAGATATGG